GAGTGCATTCGCAATAAAGTCCCCCCCCCCCCCCCCAGGTGCACGGGGAGCTGGCCGGACCGCCCGGCGATGACGCTGTCCCTCGAGCCGACGGGACGCCGCGGAGGCGCAGTTGGCGAGGAGGTGAGAGACCGCTTTCCTTTCCTTCCCGATTTCCTTCTCACTTCATGCTTTTTGACCATCACTTTTTCCACCGCCACATTTCCTAACTCATATCCCAGTCTGGAGAAAAGTAGCTACGCCTATTTTAGGAGGTTAGCCCTTCTACAGCAAATCGACATTTCATTCAATATATGCATGATTTCTCTTTTAAGAACAGCGTCTGACACAGTGATTCTTAACTTTGTTAGAGTCACGAATCACTTTAGGAATCAGATGAACACTATGGACCTCCTTCCCAAGTAATATTCACAAAAAAACATAATGGAATGTTTTTTTAATTGCCTCGTGGATAGGAGTGATACACAATCATCAAACTTGAAAGTAAACAATCTTGAAAAAATGCACAAAGTGATGTTCATTTTTATCTGATCCTCTTGGACCCTCTGAAACCATTACATAGAGTTCCTAGGGGTCCATAGATCCAGGTTAAGAACCCCTGGTCTTATACAAACTATGAGAGAGCCAGACAAGTAGACAACCAACCTTGACGCAAAATAAACCTATTTTCATAACATTTCACTGGTTTCTCGCCTTCGCTGATGATGCATTCGGCCGTTCCTCCTACAGCCTGCGGGACTTCGACGAAGAAAGGGACTTGAGGGGAGTTGTCAAAGCTGACAAAAAAACGATGGCCGAAATACTCAAGAACAAAATCCAGGAGAGCGCAGCGTGAGTTGTTCATATCAAGTCTTGTTACCGCTGGTGTTGCGGGGCTCGCTGTGGTGGCCGCCGCTTATTTCTTTAGCTGGAAGGATCTTTTGTATCATTTTAGTTAATTGTTTTAGCATCATCATCACTGTTCCTATTAGTTGTTATTTTTAATGCTAATTCGCTCCCCACCACAGTCTTTTTCTCTTTCTGTATACATACATACATACATATACATATATACATATATATGTATATATATTAATACACATACATACATAAATATATATATATATATCTATATATATATATATATATATATATATGTGTGTGTGTGTGTGTGTGTTGTGTACGTTTGTATGTAAATCTCTCTCTTTCTTTATTTCTCTCTCTCTCTCTCTCTCTCTCTCTCTCTCTCTCTCTCTCTC